GGGTCTTGTGGGGGTTGCGTTCATTTAACGCCGCCTTTCATTGTCGATCTTGTTTATCATATTTCGTAAACCTTTAACAGCAAGCAGCCTGTGAAATATGAAGTATTAGTATTGATAGGTTATCAAGATAATGTAAACAGCACTACATTACATATAATTTCCTTGACCTTTGATTCGAAATTCATCATAGGGAAAGCAATCAAAATGTTCTGCCATTATGTTTATATGCATATAAAGTAATGTAAATCCTTCACTGTTATATTTTAGTGCCATACATGCATTTTATATAAATAATTCTAACACGACCTGCATTTTTCCCTATTAAGCATTAAAGAACAGAAAGTGTGTTATTATGCAACAGATGCACAGTTTAAATTTCTATATGTAGACATGTGACGCAATCATTATACACGTGGCGTACAAATACGTACACCAATAAAAATCCGACGCGCTGACAATAGCTACGGTTCAAATCAGGCGCAATTTTGCTTAACTATCGAGTACGGCAACATTTAAATGTTGATTTCGTGTTAGAATCGAAATAATATATCCAAATCAGTGATTGTATCGCTTGATAACATCACTGTTTATCTTTCGGATGCGCATCATTATATCACTCGAGCTACGCCCTCGTGATATAAATTCTCGCATCTGAACTCCAAACAGTGATGTTATTGAGCGATTAAATCACTGTTTGGGATATATCATTTGTTAAATAAATTATTTACAGTATAGTGCACAATTCTAATCATACAAGCATTTTTATCATTCGATGCGTAAGCCTTACGTTATTAATGTTTTATAAGTTACAATTATCTTATAAATAAATTAAAATCAATTGAAATATTTTTTATGATGGTGATTCTATTTATTAGCTTTTTGTTTGATAGTGATGTTTTTTTTCAAGATACTTCTGATGCGTCATTTCTTATGTACTTTATCACTGTTTATTGCTAGGAAATACATGGCTGACATCAGCTGAAAGGTTTCTACGTCTTGTTTAGAAAGAAAAATACTTAAAAGATAAAAATCAACTGATGACTACATGTATTAAGCTTTATAAAACAATTAATTTAAACAATTATTTTACATTTCATATTCATCCAAACACGGATTGGTTAATTAGTTTAATCAAACGTTTATGCCTCATCAACTTCATTTGATATGCTTGAGACTTTCCACGGTATGATAGTTTCAAGTTTAACTTATTTAAGCTCTTCAACTGATGTCAGCTTCGTCATGTTAAACATTAAAAAAGCATAAATAGATCACTTATATGAAGGACACACTAAAAAGCTCAATATTATCGACAAAGTAGAAATTACTTCATAAATCACGAATCACGACTAATATGCGACACATTTGGGAATTTCTCATTTGTACCTTTATCTGTCAGGACGTGATAGTAAAATTGGAAGATTTCAAACGAGTTAAATGAGACTGGATTTACTACTAATGATCTCTCTTTCGAGTGAAAGAAAGTCATAAATATGTGAAGTTTACCATAGAGTACTTCATACATGTATTTCTTTTGTTAACAATTTGATAAAGTTGATGATTAAGGGTGATCTTATAGTGATAAGAACCAAATTTTGACACTCAGACATGTTTAATAATTTGGAACAGATGGGAACTTGTTCTCCAACTGTGAGTGAATGATGTAACAGATATTTGAGTTAATCATTTATTTTAAAAAGTACGAGTTTCTTACTTTTTATAATACAAGTTATAAAAATAAAAAAAGTATAATTAAAAAATGAAAAGGATTAAACAATCTCGTTCATCTGGGAGTTTTCATACACCTTTACGCCCAAACACATTGGGATTTTTTGGATCCGCTTATAGTTTGCTCATGTCTCCGTTGTCCACAGGAAGCAGTTCTCTTGAGAATGGTTTATTGACACCATACCTACTGGGGAGAAAGTCTCGGTAAGCAGTTAAGCAAAGTATACTCTCAGTAAAAATCAAGTAAATACCAATTTCATCATCTCATGAACAGGCTTAATCAAACCGACCCTGAAACGGTCTAGTTTTATCGTTTTGGACGTTTTTAATGGAATTCCGTTTTTTTTATGTACGAAGTAAGCTATTTTTTTACCCAACATCTAATAGGTTTCTGGATGATTATTATTCTACAAATATTCGTTTTTACAAGTAATTTATTTCATTGATACGGTTAACAAAATCACCAAGTAATTGATGGTTCAGTGCACTTCGAAACACTGTAGAACTCATGCTATGAAATACAATATAAAGGTTCGAATATAAAATTATTTGAAGTGGAATTGTTAATTTCAAATAAATCAAACTCAATCCAAAGTAAATGAGACGTGAATTTTCTACTGAATACAATAGAAGCCTATTACAATTGATGAAAATACATTACTTGGTTCACTGCTTCTTTGAAGAAACAATCATTTAACGTTATTTTTTTTCATTCATTGACATCCAATTAATACTTATAAAGCAATCAGGCTATCTTGATTGAATAAATGATTTAACAATCTATTATTTAACAGAACAGGTCAATTCACTGATGAAAACCGTTGACCACAAAGAACCATCATCTAAAAATATTCATGTTCAATAATCTAAAGATAAAATATGAATTTATTTCGTCATTTTAGTCAAAAGAAATCGAAACTTGTAGCTTTAGGGTATACTTACTACATATTAAATTGTTATCACGATGATTCCCAGTTTTGCATATAACATGCATTTATCATTGACCCAATATTGCCTGATATTGGAGAGTAAACTGTAGTTTAATACATATACTCGTAGTAACGAGAAAAATATATAGACAATTATCTAACACTAAAATATGTAAAATATCATATTTTTTTCTGTTAACTTCTCAATTATTTCACTGGATAAGAGCAGGCATGTGGTTATTCAGTATAATGCAGGGTGTCCAAAAGAAAAGTAACACTTTCAATTAATGATATATAAATTAAATATCAAATGTTATCTGATACTGTACATTTCAAAAATTATACATGTACAGAAAAAGTATGACACAAGTTTATGCAAAAACAACTGATATCCTAAAGTTAAACTCACATTTTGTATGAATAAAACACTGAAAACCCCCAATTCACACTTTGACCACATTTTAGTAATTTATGACGTTTTCCAAGTGGCCACCTTTCATTTTCTTCCCTTCACGGACTCGCACTATGGTATAAATAAATAACATTGTCACATGTTTCCTTGTTGATTTTCCTCACTAACTCGTTAAATATAACTCAGTTACATTTTGGTGTCTATGGGTTTGAGTTTGTATACCCTTAACTTAACATAGCCCCAAAGAAAGAAGTCACATGGATTCAGATCAGGACTCTGGGCTGGCCATGACCCACCACACTCCTTAACTTCTGGATACCGCCCCGCTGTAATGCTAACTTGTCGCCAAATGTTTCGTGCAGGAAATCAAGTACTGCATAAGATGAACGCGGCAAGCACCATCTTGCATAAACCAATCGTTTTGATATTCTCGGATTGCTTATGCAGAACAGGGATAAACTTGTTCCGCAGAAAGGACAGATATCGCTAAAAATTATTTATATCGTTAAACACATATGGACCAATAAACTCGTAGGTTGGCATGGCACACCAAACTGTTTTTTTCTCACTGTGCAATGGCCTCTGAGTGAAACAATGTGGCGGTTTATTTGCCCAAAATTGCATGTTTTGTTGGCAAACATGGACAGACAGCAGGAAGTATGATTCGTCACTAAACCATGCCAAACACTGCGCAATGCGTCTACTTAATTTTCAGCAACATCAGCAGCCCAGCGACAAAAGGCAAATCTCTGCACTTGGTCAGTAATGGGTTATTTCTGCATGATTTGAATTTTGTATGGAACCAGTTTCAGGTCATTTCTAACTATGGCGTGGATGGACGTTTTCGAATCTTGTCTCAAAAGAACATCTCCTTACCGAAGCTTTAGGACTCTCACTTAACAAATCACAAAGAGAACTCACATTTCCTTTGCTTCTGCTTGTTCTTGATCGACCAGATTTCGGAGCATCAGCAACCGATCCGAACTGTTCAAACTTGCTCACAATTGTGTAAATGTTTTATCTACTCACAATCGATTTCTTGAATAAATACTTTAACACTTTGATTTTCGTAATATTTTTTCACTGGAAAATACGCTGATCTGGCGTCAAACGCGCCATTTCGAAAAATATGTAATTTCGGAAATGACGTCAAGACGTCAAAACGTTCTAATTTTAGTATTGTTCATTTAAAAAATTGAATATAAAGCATGAATTTTCAGATTTCAAAGTGTTACCTTTCTTTTGGGACACTCTGTACCTGTAGTCGGTCAGTAGCTGACAAATTATGGTCATTAAATTAATTCGCCATTCCTTAATTTAACGGTTAATATGTTATTATATAGCATGTATCAGTGTTGTGTTTTAAACAATCTTGCAAAGAGGTTACTTTGCATGGCGACCTTCTTCTCGTCAATTCAGTTTACTTCAAGTAATGTGAGTGTTTTTGTCAAATAAAGTACCCTAGTGATACACACAACTGTCTCTTTCGTAACAATATAAATTCTTTATTTTATGTTGGCAATATGTTGTACATACATATGTAACTAGTTAAACAAAATTTTACTTCCTATCTAACCAGCTCAAAAAGAATGAAGATGGACAAAATAAATCAATGATTTGGTTTGTGACCAAATACTGAAATTAATTTCAAGGTGCCTGTTAGTTGATCATGGTGGCTAGGCGTTATTGTTACGGTCTTATTGATCCAATTTTGCAGTGGTTCAAGTGGCAAAACCATTTATAAAACACAACCTCAAAACAGTTATGCAATGCATTGTAATGATTTGAACAAAAATGGACCCGCGGTTTAGTAAATGTCACACAGACTGTTGCTCTGCTAAATCATCTCATAGCACATTTCAAACTTTTCCAATATTTTGCAATTCTGTTGCGTCCGGCATTAACACATCACACCGCTATGTGAGCAAAATTTCTCTTTGATAAGTTCTTGGCGGTACACATATTGCGACGATGGGTTACATGAGAGGAATAAACTGTTAGGAAAATTAGGAGACATACTTATTTTTGTTCTTGAATATAATGTGATGTGATAAAGGACAGCTTTCTGGCGTTGCTTGATATATTATTTGCTGATGGTATTGCCTTATATGTGTCAAGGATTCTTTTAATTCAGAAATTGCGGAATGATATTGTCTTATTTGTTTCTTGAATTTTTGTTTCAATGAGCAACATTCATTAATATCTGATACGTGTCTCTATTCTCTATTAAGAGGTTAGATTAAGTTTGTTCATTTTAATTATACGCAATTTGTTTCACTATGACAGTAATGGAATACCATTGTAAATAACAGTATTTGATAGTAGAGTTTTAACGTTAACGGAATGGATAGAGAATACCCTTCTTCAACGGAACTAAGCGTCGAGTGGGACGGATCACAAGCGTCCCTTCGAAATGAAGGATTAAGTTTACATGGTTCAAATCAAAGTCTGCAAATGTCGTCTGCTTCACCTCGTCTGAGTCCTATTTCAAACGATTCAACATCACCTTATCTATTGCGGAAAGTTAGGTAAGGTCTTTTCTAAAAAAACTTATTGACTTTGAAGTTTATAAAAAACAAAGAAAACAAAATAATGGAGACAAATTTTTGTAATATTTGACAGTTTTTTGACCAATAAATATTATTAAATTTTGATTAAGTTTATATATTTTTCTTTAAATAATAATCGTTTTAGTAATTTTGTACAAATAGAACATTTCAAGAGAAAGGGAAATTTGTATTAAAATAGATTTAAAAGAAATATATACTTACAATATGTCGACATTGCCAAACTCTCGTTTTACGGTTGTTAATGTGTAGTAGGCACAGAAATTAATTATTATGGAAAGGCAAGATTCTGAAACTGTTATTTCTATTAAGATTGTTTTAACGATTTATCAAATCAATTTCATGTATGTAATAAGATGATTTTATTAAAACCATTTATGCCACACACAGTCTTTTAGATTTATCTTACAAAATTCAATAGATCATGCTGTAAAAAGGATTTGAAATATTGAAAAAGATGTTAGAGACATTGAAGTCAGCACGTATTTCTTTTACAGAAACTGATAAGTTTGTGTAATATATTATGCTTGAAAAATCGAAACTAGTCAAATTGCAGTAAATTGTACAACAAAGATCCCTTTAACAGCAAATTATTTCAGGCACAAACAAATCAATAATAAGTTCAGATTTTAATAATTATCTAATAGCAATTCTAAATTTAACATCTTAATCATTAAAATAAAGCATTTCGCAGTTTTTTGTTCACATGACAATGATATTGCTTGTAGCAATATGGCTATGATGTTTTATAGCAATAAAAGATAACACGAACAGATCTAGTGTTTCTTTAAGTCGTGACATTGTTAAATGCTATATTGCTTATTGAAATTTTAATCGCAGTAACAGATGATTTTGTTTTGAAAAAGTGCGAACATTTATTTTATCAAATGGAGTCATTTATATTCCGAAAGGCTGTTCACAGCATTACACTTTAATTGGTATTAAATTTATCATTGAAAGTGAACGTAATGTGCATGTCGAGAGTTACGATATCACATTCGATCAAACGAAATGATAAAACTAGCTTCAAATTAACTGGGAACCAGTCAATGTCAAATTGCAAATTGATGATATATATTTATGTCTGGTGAACATATATATCTTGAAGAGCCAGGAAAACATCAACTACACGGAAATACTTGATAAGATATAATGTCAGTCCTGGCGCTATCCGTCAATGGCCAAAAGTCTCCTACGTGAGCACACCAATACAGTCGGACGATTAATGGTATTGGCAAACCAATAGTAGATGACATTGATTTTTTGTTACATCTAAAGAATTGTCGTCGGTCTTTGTTGTTCCTGGATGTCGATCGTCTTTTTCTACAATTACGCCCAATTTAGTTATTGTCAACTAAATGCAATTAGATTGATTTGATTGTTTAAGTATGAGATGATCATATGAGGTTGTAGAAAGTTTCTTTATGTGTTTTCCGAATGCTGTTGACAACCATCTTTTTATGAAACAATGAAGTTATTTATGAATGTCCTGAGTTACACGTCAAATGTTCAAGGTTGAAGGTTGAAAGTGTTTTTACGTTGTTGTTGTTTTTATTTCTATTGATTTTTACAAAATATCAATATTATATTATATACTCAATCTGAAATGTATCAATGACAAAAACGCACTAGTGTGCCTTTCATTTACAAGTATATTGGCGAATTATCTTAACAAGCTATACATGTATTTAAATGACAAGCATTTTATAATATGTGAAAAATTAATATATTCTATCCGATATTTTGAATTTTAAAAAGTATTAAGCAAATATTATGTAAATATGTAATGTGATGTATACATATGAACAAACTTTTTTTTATGAATTATATACAATACAATATTGATACATATATAATATATGTTCATATAGCTTTACTTTCTGTCTCAATTTCTGTATTTAAATACAACGGTTGGGAAAGCATTATATGCGGGCTTTATAACATTTCTACTAATTTGATGTAAATCTCTACAAACTGACAATATCACATGGTATATTCAAACCGAAAAACGCTGAAAAACGACAAAATTACCGCTTAAAGGGCTTTTTGTTGAGCATATATAATATCAAGAAATACGCAATGGTTATTTTACATTATACTACGTTGTCATACCATGTGGTAGCAACATATAACATCTTTTCGTGTTATGTGAAAAGTTTGGCTAAGATCTCAAAAAATTCTTCCAGACAGATTTTTTCTATTATGATACAAAACAAAGTTATTTAACTTGTTTTGTCGTGAGAGGAATATGTCTGGATCGTACGATAGTAACAAGGTATTTTTGCACTGGATATGTCAGTATATAAATCTGCAGACGATTCAAAAATGTGTAATAGTTACATTGACTGTAAGAAATGTTCAATCTGCGAAAGAAAATTACTACGGAGGGACAAAACCAGGCTTTTTTGCTGTTTTTGTTAAATGTTTGCCATACTAAGTCTGCTCAATTTTGCTGTACAACTTTTTGAAATACATAATACTGATTAAACAAGATAAAAGGTTAAAAATGGTCTGTGTTTGTAGTTAAGGACAAATCAAATTATTTTTAGAATGTTGAAAATATGTAAACAGTTTCAAAATTTCATGCTTTAAAAAGACGCACATTGCATTGAGTGGTAAATGGTGGAAGTCGATAATTTATAATTACATGTATGTTCGATAAAACGATTTTACTTAGAAACGCTCAGTAAGAAATCGATTATCATGAACATCCAATATAAGCGTTCAATTGCCGCATCTCTCGATGATTAATTGAGTGATTTGTCTTGAGCAAGTAGTTTATGATCAAATTACGCGGTGAATGTAAACAATAGCACCTTATTGTAACACGAGAAAAAGTCAAAGAGAGGACAGCTATTATTTGGAGGCAAAAGATGAAATGTGAAATTAATTAATAACGCTATACGGTTTATCAAAACAATGTCATAGGTTCATGGATTTGTCACAAGCAATTTATAGGTTTTTCTTTTGGTTTTAAAATGGTATTAAGTATTAAGTTGAATGACGGATCATAAAGTCGTGCCGTTTTTAACTTAATAAATTTTAATACAATAATGACCATGCACTTGTACATGTATGTTTCAAAAGATTGAATAGTACCATGTTTTATTTTTATCAATATAAAAATATCGTGATACATCATTTGACTTCTGATCAAACAAATTGAAATTTATCTCGTTGGTTCTTACCATAATACCAAACAGATTGGGGATAAGATAAAACAGCAAATCCGAATACCGGTACTACACTTTCTCTGAAACAAGTATCTTTCTTAACAGTATATGTTTCATTATCATCTAAAACAAATTTTACAAAAAAATGGTTAATGTAGAAATCTAACCTACTATTCTATAAAAGATCAGTTTAGTTAATTTATACTGTAAGACACTTTTGAATCTGAGCAACACCGCACAACTTCGTGTTGGTTATAATCGATTTTGTCTGTTTTCCGATACTTTCTTAATAATTGTAATGCGTTGTGACACATTAATATGTCTAGTTTAAATTGTTTAAAGAATTACTGTAATGAAGGGTGAATATTTTGGTATTTACTGAAATATTAAACTGCACGAACAATAACATCCCTGTCGTATCGGGTAACCTGTTTAAAACAAGTTTGATTGCAGATATTTTCAAATTTTTTTTTTTTTTGAGTTAATGTGATTTTTATGCTAAACAAATGTAGTAGCAGACCTATGCTCGACATATTTATCGTATATTTTGAATCTGAAACCGAATGAATTACCTCGGTCTGGCTTTGTAAACTGTAAACGAGAATATATTGCATATACTTAATGTGATACAAGACATTTTTATTCCTCGACATTTGGTATTCATACTATTGATAAGCAATTTATAGCCGTGTTTCTTTACATTATTCATAAATGTCATCGTACATAAGGATACACATGTCTATCACTTTTTGAGATTAATGATGTTGGAGAGATGAGTCCAAATCAAGATGCATTACTTGAGCATCAAAGGAGTATTTCGGGACCCAACAAAGAAATTCCCATTTTCTTTTACATCAAATAAGTTGAAGGAACTGATATCTTTTATTACTTTTGAACCGAAACATTGCCCTTCATAGTCAATGAAATAATCCTTATTGTTCTGCCAATGTTTATATACTTTTTGTTTGCAATTATGTCAAATTAAAACCTATTTCAATATTAATTTAAGAAATGTTGATTATTTATTAAAACAATTCCTACTATATGTTTGTTGTTTTGTGAAAAATTCAAATTTGATTTCATATTAAAAATACTCTCTTTAAATGACATGTTTCGTAAGCAATCACAAATTTCTGTTTTTTAACAGAAAATTATGTTTTTCCTTTATCTAAAACTGTTTTGCATTAGACCAAGAATGAAAGCTATAGTAAAGCAACACTTGTAAATATATAATATTTAAAGGCACAACATGCTTCGGAAACGAATTAATTCTTACTTCTTAAGAAAGGGCAAATATGAATTTTATAATGTTTAAGTAATGGTTTATGTAAATCTTAGATGATTGTTACCTGAAGAAAGTAGGAATAGATGTGAAATAATTTGTCATTAAAGTAGCAAAATGTGCACAAAGTAGTATTTTGACTTCCATACACAATACTTATGCTTTATTGCAAAAACCCAACAAAAAAACAGATGAACAAGATGGTTCATGTAATCAGCCAACGAATGACTTTATGGATACCATAAAAGTTCACCAAATTAAAATACTTTTGAGAAATAAAAAAAAAACATTTATGGCCTTTAGGGGAAAAAGTTTAATTAACCAATGATTAAAATGGTACTGGTTGTATAAAGTTAATTGAAGCATCTCAACCAAGGCGTTGTTTTCTTTCCCAAATTCAGTTTTATTTCTTCAAGAGACATTCCCCATCTTCGTTTTTTTCACTATAAAATATCAGTAAAATGTCTGTTGTTTTTATTCTGTGTCAACATTTTGATGTAATTACTGCAAATAACACGATATATAATTTGACAGAATAAAGAAAAACAGTTGTTGTTATATGTATTCTTGGCTACAGAAACGTCAACAGCAGTCAGATTATTATTGTATGAGACAAAACAAAAACCAAAAGATTTTACTGTGAAATATAAACACACAAAATTTTTTTATGTATGGCTATGATGAATATTACGTTAGAGCAGAATTTAAATAATTTTCATGTCAAACTATTATTTTGTATTACTAATTCACCTTTGATAGTTTTCATTAACTTGATAAAGGAAAGGCGCTTATAAAATGTTGCCAATATTTTATCTTCTTGGTGCTCGGGGGTTGATAATGTTCTTCTCAATCAGACAGAGCCACGTCGCTCTATTACATGCTACATCGTTGTTATTGCTCTTGCTTAATATTCCCTGAAAGGAATTAACAATATCAAATATCTTCGCAGTGCGTAAAAATAAAGCAATGCAGCATTTACTTTTGTAACCTGAACTTTAAAAATATAGAAACTTGCAGCTTTATGTCTTGGTTGTATTTATGTCAAAAGATGAACGAGATAAAGCGCATTTATGTCCTAACTTCCTCTTCTTAAATAAGGGTTTTAAGTGTATCTGCCTATTAAGAATCTTACAATATTTTTGATAGCAGAAAATAAGTTATTTTTCAAATGTAGTACTTTGATATTTCTAACAAAATAAGATATAAATGATAATGCTTAGAATCATATTGTTTGCTTAAGTGGTTTATCATGTACCTTTAATGTTTGAGTCTGCAGCATTATACCATTATCGTAGTTTATACAGAATATGTTTTTATTTGAACCAACCAGTACCAAGCAATAAGTGTAAAGTTTCTTGCTCAATTTTATTGATTTGTAATACGGTTAGATTTTAACATAATCTTAAGTTATCTTGTTTGTTTAACATAACACTAGGAATAGTGTTTTTGTCTGATTTTGGTTTTTATAACAATAAATGACGACTTCTCCTCAATATCACAATGTATGTTTTTTCTGCGTAAATTTTCATTGCTTCAGATATGCTCTTTGCTTCAGATATCTCTATAAATAGTGTACAGTAATATTAATGTCAACCTCTCACGACATGGAATAATATTCTACTCACTTTATTATTTAAACCTTCAAAAGTAATAGAAACAAATGTACTGTGATTTTATCATTTTTATGTTGTAAAATAACAAATGAAAAAAATACACACGAGGCGTGACATTTGCTCTGATGTAAATATCATTTTCAATCAGAGTGGCAATCTCGTATGCAAGGAATTAGGTAAATTGGCCTATCATTTAAATTTTAACATATGACACATTTTTCTGTCAAAGTTAAATTGTTGTTAAGTATGCCTTTGTCAAAAAAAAACAATGACTATTTTTTTCTTTGTATTTATTTGTTACCTTGAAATGATTATGAATGTTATCTATAAAATGGTTATTATATTAAAATCAATCTGATTTATTTTAATTTTTTCTAAACTTAGAAACCTTACATTTAGTATTGATTGCACTTTCCAGCATTATATGAACAATGTGTGGTTATATCATTCGTCTGTTTCTTTAAAAAGGCAGAAACTTAGAAACGTGTTGAAAAATAAAATGAATCCTTATTATTTTGATGATTACTTTATCTTTTTACTATTAGGAATGTTAATTTGCCATATAATGAAACAATGGAAACAATGTGATTTTAACTTTCATCTTTTTTGAAAAAAAAACAAGATTAAAAAAAGCGTCTTTGTAAGAGATTTAATTTTATGAAATTATATATTTGCAATTTATAAGGTGTTACACAAAACAAATTTAAAACTGTTTTGAAGAAATTTGATACCATATACTATAATATGATATCCGGTAATTTGTGTGATGCCAAAAATGTTACATAAAATGTATTGTTTTACCGCATGGTTATCAGATACAAAGTACAATTTCTGTTTTTGTTAAATACTCTCACATTTACAAAATGCGGATTTAATAATATTTCATCGTATTTAGACACGCTCTTTGGAAGTAAGGTAATGGTCCATTCTCATGTTTATTGTGTATTTTTTACGCTTTAAGCTCGATCGATTACCAAGAAAAACTTCTTTTAAGCATAACTTATAGTTTAGATTTAGTTAAGAAGAAAACATGAACTAAAATAAGGCTCATTTATTGACAAATTGCAGTCATAACTATTGATTTATTAGGCTTTGTTTATATGTCCTACCAATTAATCCTATAGGTTACAGAGACAGCATTGTAAAGAGATTACTTGTTTGGTTGCAGGGTATGATCGATTTTCATTTCATTTAATAAATATCAACTGATATAATGTTTTCATGAAAGACAGGAACATATTAAGTGCTCTTATGTGCACGATACAAAATAAACATCGACTATTCACCAATGCAAAAAATAGCTTTTCCTTTTCCATTATGTCGTCTTTAACATCTTTTGTGTTGAAACAAGTTAAGTTCGCCAGTATATGGTACCGAAGGCAGTACATTTTGAGAGTAGTAATATTTATGCTTTTAGAACGGTCTTCTTTCCTTCATATTTTGACATACAAAATATTGTACTTGTTTCTGTGTGTTATTTTATCTAAGTAAACAGACTAGCTTGTGATAATATTTTTTCTTTTGGATAAAGACACTCAAATTCTGATTTGAAGCGTATGTTTTCAGCCCGTTAGATCGCGCAAAAATACTTCATATTAAACCGGAACTACTACATATTTTAACAATATAATGTTATTTTCAGTGCAGACAAAGACAAACACCATGTCCGTCCTGGAGCGCAGTCAGAGCCTAACGAATATAATTTCAACTACCGACGACGCGGAGTATTTCTGATATTTAACAACAAACATTTTCTCGAATCAACGGGACAGCTTGAACGTGAAGGCACAGACGTAGACGCTGAAAGATTAGAAGAGCGCTTTCAGGATACTGGTTTTGAAGTTCGAAGATACGATGATGTCACGTATGCACGCATGACAAAACTGATGCAAGATAGTAAGTTATATTTGCTCATTATGGTAAACCTGGTAATTCCGACTTTTATGGTAAATTCCAGACAAATTCGTTATATTGAAAACAGCTCTAGTTAAAAAGCTATCGCATGCGAGTGCAGATTACCTCGTGACTTTTAGAGACACTTTATCGGACAGACGCAATAATGACATGTTCTACATTCATGTTAAATGATTTAAAGTAATCAGTTTATGTCTGAAAGACTCAAGATGAATTTAAGCAGACACACAAACACATGGAAGAAATTTTGGAAGTATAATGCAGGATAAACCCATAAACATATCAAAACAATATTCATATATTCATGTTCTCCAATGTTTTTGTCATTGATAAAAGCCTGTACTCATTATTTCATTATTTAACGTTTTGTAATCATTTTATATTATAAATTATCCTTTTCAGGAGAATACGTTTTAGCCTAATCTAAACAATCAGAAAAAAGCTAACTGAACTGTTTTATGACATCCTGATTAAATTGTTTTAAATTAATTGTTTCAGTTGCATCATTGGACCATTCAGATTGTGATTGTTTTGGATGTGCCGTGTTAAGCCATGGGCGAGAAGGTTACATATATGCAACAGACAAATTAGTTCCTCTAGAAATGCTCACACAACCGTTCAAGGGAGATAAATGTCCTTCATTGGTTGGAAAACCAAAACTTTTCTTTATACAGGTCAATCAATTACCTTATGATATTATAAACAAATATATGCATTATAATTTTAACATATACCGAGTTCAGATAAGGTTGATAAAGGGTTTATATATGTAAACATCTTGTTTGTGTTTTGCTCTAAGCGTGCACACACCCACGACTTCGCGCTATAGGACATAATGAATTCTTGGTACTCGGTTTATTGCAGGACTAAGAAGAAAATACCTTATTTAATATTAAATTTGCCAGAATGTTTAAGATAGTGTCTCTCGGAACTTAAATACTTTATATTTCACAATCAAAATATTATAAGTTTTTGTAATTTTAACAATAGACCGCAGGTCTTTGTTGCTGGATCATGTCGGGTTCCGTTCATTGAATGCCACCTTTCCCTGTTGATATTATCATATTGTAGTACTACTTTTCAGGCGTGTACAGACAAACGGACTGAACATAAACGTGCCTCTCCATCTCGTTTTGTTAACGGTGCCCAATCTACACATATTGCCAGCAGGAAGGTTCCGGTTGAAGCTGATTTTCTTTTCTCCTATTCAACTGTTCCAGGTAAAGCAATTGTGCAACGTCATTTTACATTATTTTTATACAAATATTTAATGACACTTGCTTTCAAACATGTTCTCATGGAGATAAAATGTCACGTGGTTTAGTTTGTTAACATTTGATATAAATGTAAATTGCACTACATAAATTTTAAACGTATGCCGATCGAAGTGTACTTTATCTGACACTCGATGAGATGGTTTCCAGGAAAAGATTTTGCAGATGCATCCAAATGTATATAATTTCATGCAAATATCTGATTTTGTTAAGCAAACACTAGAGGGTGTCGTCCGACGTAAATATGCACATAGCTTTTACGTCCAAAATACAACTTCTGATTCTATTTTGTTGTTTGCAATTTATATTTAAGGGATATTCCGAAAGAAAAAAACTATTTTACTAGTATTACCGTTTTGAAGTTTTATTCAATTTTGCATCGCAGCTATACGGCAGACATTATAGTCAGTTGAGACACAAGTCATAAATTCACGATCTGAAAATGTATCAACATTTGCGGAAGTATACGGCACTCGGAATCGTATTTGCAGATTTCTTTGTTGTTGTCAGGAAAGGGTTGGGGATGATGAAATATATTCTAGCGTTTCTGGTTGTCGGATATGTTTTTCCAGCTTTTACTGTGGCTTACACAAAAGAATTCCCCTATTAATACCTTTATCACTTTATTTCTAGATTGTTTGACTAAATAAAATTGGTAATAGGATGTCAATTTCTTGTCCTAAAAGCGGAGAGGTTTTGTCATGGTCAAGATGTAGATTTAACAAAGCATAATTGTTGTATTAACTATGTGTTTCATTTGACTCATAACACGTAAACTCGCATTAAACTAAATCGGTCCGCACGTAAACTCGCATTAAACTAAATGCGGTCCGATGTGTTATCCCCTACAATTACCCTTGCTTCTTCCTGTAGAAGTTTCTGAATAGTGGCAATAATTTGTAGTTGGTCACAAATCTTTGTCGCTCTTGTCTTGTTTTGTCCTCAAACGTTTTCGAATCAGCTTTGTAAAATAGAGAGAAATAAAGAATCCCTAAAGAACGCACAAAACGACAGAATTGAAAATGTTTTAGGCTTTGTTTGATTGAGCCTGTTCATGGACGACAATGGAAAATGCAAGTTACCGTCCTAGTAAAGTCGAGTAACTGTTATCTTGTTTAAATATATCGCATTTTACCGTGAAAATTTGTTAAGCACATAGAACTAGTTTAAATCGGCATCTGATATATTCCTTTATTTTGACCGTATCCCAACGACTCACCAGCAGTATATATATATACTCTTGTACTTTCGCCCGTAATCTTGTTCTTTCGTATCCGTTTGTAAGAGATAAAAGCTTTAGTAACTATTTGATTATTATAGAATACTTTTAATTCGTTGCATTATTCTTTTTCTTCAGGGTACTATTCATGGCGCAATCATCAAGAAGGAACATGGTATATTCAGGCGTTGTGTATTGTCATTGAAAACTATGGAAACAAAATGGAACTAATGCAAATGTTGACGCAAGTAAATAGGATGGTGGCATATGAATTTGAATCTTGCTCAGATGAAGAATTTACAGAGGACCTAAAACAGATGCCTTCAATTGTTTCTATGCTCACACGATATATTTATTTTAGACCTAAGAAACCAGATATTAGAGGGTAATGCTTCTGAATCAACTCGTAGTCTGAAAGTGTTGTTCAGTTACTGTATCGATGAGATGCAAACCATAAAATGATAAAACAGGATATTAATCAAATATGTTTTATCAAATTTATGAAGCCATTTTCGTTATAAACAAACACATTAAAGTTTGAACTCTTTTGGTCACATAAATGTTTACATACACATTCAGCTAGGGTAAAACAAAACTTATAAATTGTAATATTCAATTTGGAAATGTTTCAGTGATGTTAACCGAAAGACAGAGTGTGTCACGATTAAATGCTTATAAATGTAGTACAAATATATTATTGGAAGCTATGTCCATTTTAGTCACTTATAAGCAAGATTAATGCATTTGTTTAAAATGAAATGACAGTAAAACTAGTTATCAAGATGACTTTCCAATTCAGATGCACTGTCTTTGATAAATCTTGTTTCATGTTTTGTTATTTCAGAACGTGTATGGTATTGATTTTCTTGCTTTCTTGATTACATGTATAAAGAATGCCCTTTTGAGAAAAATGAGTAAATTTTACAGAGGTTTTCAGTCTATAATTATCTTAAAACGTATGATAACAATCATTTCTTTCCGTTCATATTTTTTATATTTGTTAACAACAGAATGCACTAAGATCAGACAAGGATATTTGTAAACAATCTTTCAGTATGACATATTACATATTTGTTATCTTCTTATAGATATACGCGTAATATTGACCCGTGATGATTTCTCACTAACATATATTATAGCATGCTAAACTTGATGAGTAATGGACATATTCTACAAAAATTTTGTTATGTCTTAAGGGTTGAAAACAAAAAAGCTGAACAATATACTTTGATAAGTTATTATTTCTTTATGTAACGATAAGAATCTTAATTAAAAAGAGATAATACACTTCGTGTTTTAATTTCGTTTTCATTATATACATTTATTATGTACATTAACCATGATAACGATTTGAATTGTGTTATTTGGCAACTTTAGTGCTAGGTTTTTTCGGGGAAAAACACACAAGCCCAACGAATATATATTAAAGATTCACTAGAATCTTTGTGATGTTTTTGATAATTTATGACAATGAAACATTTTAATATGTTTTCAAAACATTTGAAGCATGGTTTCTCGAAGGGTTGTTACGACTGATCATGACCAGTACACGTGTCAAAAGTAATATTATAGTTTAATTCATTACAAGTATCAGTAAATTAATAAAATTTTCGAGATAATTGATTTCATTCTCTAATCAAAACATTACATAACCAAAATAAAACAGTAAATATAATGCCATAAACATAACAAGTTTTTTGGACTTCTTATTGAAGTTGCTGCTGTTAGTATTAATCCAAATTATAACTAACATAACACTTAACACCACCTTAAACTAACATATTTGAGCCGCGTCATGACAAAACCAACATAGTGCGTTTGCGACCAGCATGGATCCAGACCAGCTGCGCATCCGCGCAGTCTGATCAGGATCCATGCTGTTTGCTATCAGTTTCTCTACTTGTAATAGGGATTGTAAGCAAACAGCATGGATCCTGATCAGACTGCGCGAATGCGCAGGTTGGTCTGGATCCATGCTGTGCGCAAACGCACTATGTTGGTTTTGTCATGACCCGGCTCATTCTCAAGTTAATGTAAAACAATTTAAAGGTACATGCTACTTTGAGTTAAGGAATTTTATTTTACAGCCTAAATATAATCTGATCTGTTAATATAAAGGAAACATGGATAAAATTAATATTTAATAAATATGTTAGATAATTAGAAGCACATGGCAAAATGTAGGACGAAATGCAAAAAATATTTTTTTCACAAGTGATTTATATTTTCTCATCTGAACGATAGCCCCATAGTAACATTACTAAACAAATATGAACATACGTAATATTAATTCAGATTAAACAATATCAATACCATGTACGTTAGGTGCTCCACTGAGGTAATTCGACATGATGGGTCTGGAAATATTTTCCCAAACATTGTGTATCCTTTGATGTATGCCTGGATCAATAACTTGTGTGTCTGTTTTAAGGTCATTCTCTCTAGCTGTTTTTCCAAAATAGTCATTTTTATTGCGCAAAATTGACCAAAAAAGAAAACTCTTTACCCAAATTCGACGAAGAATCAAAAAAAAAATCCGATTTACTTCTTAGTTTATATCTATTATTTCTTTGCAGTTTTTATAATTTAAAGTGATCCATGTGATCTTTGTAAGATTTTTAATGATATACTTTTGGACCAGATGGAATTTTCAAATAAGTATTAAAAAATTGTTACCTATAGCCAAACATGCATACCATTAATGGCATTTTACCAGCAAGACATTTGTATAGATTGCTTATATGTGAGTTATTTCGAAATAAAATAAAATATACTTTTATAAAACCCATTCTTAATCATTTCATGTCACGAAGTTTTCTTTTATTAAAAATCATGTTATGTCACGATGTTTTCATTAAATTGTAATGTTTGTAAAACATAGTGCGCAATTCGAGAATTCTAATACAATGTTATGATGTTTAATATATGCTTGTATTTTAAAAAGGAACTTTCGGCAGTCGATGTACCGCACTTGGAGAAACTATGAAATAAAAAAAAATATTTTGTCTACAAACGACCTTATAACAATTTTTAAAGAAATATTAATAAATACATTAATTTAAGATCCTGTAACACAATTTTCTTATGATTTGCTGTGTGACAGCTGTAAAAAGTTGCCCCGTACTTCACTTCAGTGTTGTTATATTTTTCTGGTCCTTCGGGACCATTGATGCCAGCACTATTAATTGTTGAGAATTGGGGACCGCTCAAGCCGGTCCTTGATGTGAGGGATGTTGCATTTATTCATTATCCCTCATGAACAGACTCAATCAAACCGAGTCTGCAATTTTCACGTAATTTTGTTGTGATTAATGCTTCCAAGGGATCACTTTGTTTCCAGATTTTTATATCATATATATGATGCTCAAATTAAGATTTATTAATTTTGTAAGTTCCAGAAAACATTATTTATTAAACTATTACCGAATTTAACATTTCATGTAAATAAAGGGAGGTAATAAAAAAATCTATATCCTATAAAGTCTTAAGTCAAATTTTTCAATAAGAAATAAATGCATATATTTTAATGATTGCATATAATATGTACAAATATTTGCAGTACATATTTTACATATTCTTCGATGTTTGAAAAATGTTTTATAAGCATAGTTATATACATATATATAATTTCACTTGAGTGTGGTATACAACCTAAATTACAACATACAGGATCTTTAATTAAATTAAATTTAAAAAAATGAATAAATAGAGAAATAAATAAAGAAACAACACTGACAAAAGTGTAACAAAATGCGGACATATATTACCATAACCAAGTTTTGTTTTCAGTAAATACTTTGAACTAGGTTACTGCCAATCAAATTTAATTAGATTTATTTGACTGTGTCTACGCTTGCATTGTGTTAACAAGGTTTAAGACACTTTCTCCTTTTTAAAACAAATCCTACGAATTAAGTACGCCATCATTAAGCCAAGTATATTGATTTGCCTATTATGGAGAAAAGATCTATCGAGATAACATTGACATAAGCATTACCGACATATTCATCAAACCTTTTTTAAATATTACCAATGTGTTCTTTTTAAGTCTAGATGTCCATATGGCTTGAGTTATAAATGGCTGCCTACTTGTGCAATTGTATAAAATCTTGCACAAAATATTTTTACAAACATTTTTTTTACATAATCATTTACGCATTAAAAGGATTAACATTCCTGTTGGATGGCTTGTAGTTAGAATTATAGCATTCATAAAAAAAGTTCTATTTTGGAGTTAAGTATACTCAATATGTATCAAAATATTATTTGTATCGGTACTGAATCAGTTAGAAAAACATTATTTAATATAAGAAAGGCTTTATCCAACGATGGTTACATCCGTGGAATGATTCGTTTTCAAAATAAAAATCCTAACTACGTTAGAATATTCTTCCTAAGTATTTTTCATTTAATTATGCCGACCTGAAATATATATTTTTGCCAATCAAAAGTTATTGTTAAGACGTTCGACGTTGTCTTTGAAAAACCACCAAGACATTGACAAAAACCCGATAATAATAAAGTTGAAAACATTTGCATATTCCCAGCTTCCAATTACTCAAACGTCTGGACATTTTGCATAATAACAACAATTATGAGGCAATTTTTTATGCCATTTACAGCATAATTCATAAAATGCCAACTATATGTAAGAAATAAATATGTCTGTCTGTAACATTGACAGATTAACACTGTAGCATACATGAATCCAAAATAACTCAAGACGGCTGTGTCGAAGATCTTTTGTATCATACAGTCTAATAGAATTATTTAACATTTCATAAAGTTGTTTTGTAACAAATATATTTGCATCCCCAAGATGAGCTTAACTATTTCAAGAAAATCAAGCATGAAAAAAATGTACTCAAATGTTAAGACAAGAAATGATTAACAAGTTATGTGCGATAAATGACTGATTTTGCAGTATTTATCACCCTATTTCTACTGCTTGTCTAACACAGTAAGGGCTATTTATAGCACATTTTGACCTCATTTTAGTAATGTATGTACGTAGCTTGTAAGTGCCTTTTTGAATATGGAAATTATTGTCTGTGTTAACTTCACAAAATGCTTCTTTTAAATACCTTTTCACAATGTGCATGAAAATTAGCAGGATTTAAAAAAGAAGGCAACATACACGGTTACCTATGGGATTTGCAGCAGTACCATCTGAATTTTCTCGTGTAATTGGAGATGATCTCCTTAAGCCTGACTACAATATGACGAATATTGAACATGGAGAAATACTTTGCTATTTTAAAAGTCAAATTGTTTTGAAGAGCAAGTAGTTAGAACATGCATTTGAGTTAATTGACATTAATACTACCAATCTCAAACTTAAAATCTGGAAACAAAGTGATCCCTCGGAAGCATTAACCCCAACAAAATAACATAAGAATTGCAGACTCGGTTTGATTGAGTCTGCTCATGAGGGATAATGAATACGTGCAACAGCCCTCACGCCCCCTAGCACCGGCGTGAGCGGTACTCAATTCTCAACACTTAGTGCCGGCATCAATGATCCCGAAAGGACCTGAAAAAATTAACAACACTGAAGTGAAGTACGGGGTAACTTTTTACAGCTGTCACACGGCACTTGATACCTGCTGTTGTAAACCTTGTTTTAAATCATATATAGCTTTAAGAGGATGTAGTAAATAAAAAGAGTGTTAAAATAGACCCGGGAAAAGTCTCTGTTATTAAAAAGTGGCCTTGTAAGTTAAAGAAAGATTTAAAGCGTTTTTTTCTTACGATTAACATCCGATTACTCAAGATTTGTTAGACTATGGACAAAATATAAAGCCATTGTATCGTTTTACACACACATTGTATTTTCAAATGGACATTTAAATGTGATAAAGCATATAAAAGCCTAAGGATCTATCAAGTCCAATTTAGCTAAATATCCTAAATTACGAGCAACAATGTTTCAAATAATTATACAGATAGTACTGGGTATGCTTTTTGCGCAATTCTACGTTCAAGATGGACAAGAACGACTATTTGCACACTACAGGAAATCGTTGAATAAACATTAAACGAATTATTGTAGTATGCGGAAAGATCGTCTTTCTGTTTTGGTGTCTCTAAAGCGCTTTCATCATTATTTGTTTTAGAACAATTTCTTATTTAGAACTGAAAATTATGCAGGTAGTTGGTTGAAGAAACTTGAAAGTCCAACAGGGAAGGTGGTTAGATGGTTGCAGACAGTAGGGACTTATTACATTATAATCAAACATCGGCCAGTAACACAGTATATAAATGCCAATATTAAAATCTGGAAACAAAGTGATATTCCGGCAACTGTAAAAAACCT